GGAACGACATGGGGGTAAGTGATTAATGACAACATTTTCATTTTGGGGTGGAGTATCCCTTTAAATTACTAAATTTAAGTATCATGTAAATATGTGTTTAACATTATGGGCACTAATGATCTAGAAATGCTACTCTTGCCTATTAGGTCTTTGTTGCGGCGGTCGATGGACAGGTTCCTCAGAGCGATGGCCACAGCTCGCACCACCTTGTCTGAGTCCGAGCGCAAGAGCTCGACGAGGATTGGCAGTCCTTTCTCCTTACGCACTGTCGCCCGGATATAGTTCGACCACTGTAGAAATGAGAGGAAAAGACTGTATTAAGCCAGTGATTCAGACATTTTCCACTGCATTCATTTCATTAAGTCAAGTCAACTTATGCTCAGCCAGACATGCAGCTCTGTAAATCTTTCAGAACAGGAATATGCCTCCGAGTATGTGTGCAAGAAAAAGCTCCTCTATTCTGGGAAACTGCAATCCAGTAAATAGCCATTTGCTCCCCGTTAGACTTGTGTGCATTTTCACTCCAACCCCATGAATCACAAAACCTTTATGGTGACACAAGAAATGTCTATTCCTCAACCAGTGCCCCTGAGATAGTAATTAAGTTGTTGCAATACCACACCATGGCCACTAGGAGATGGTAGTGAGCCTAGAAACACATTTGCAGAAAAGTAGGAAAGAGAATAAATTAATAAATAAAATCTCTCAAATCCTCTTATAGACCACAGACGTGACATGCCCGTCTCCCTACAGCAGGGGTTTGTGATGAGCTAGGAACTCTGGGTTCACAAGCACACGTGGGTCACCAGGCATAGAGATGAGGCAGGTCTGAAGCGGCGGTACCAGACAGAGAAGCTGTGAGCTTATGCATAGCTGCACTTCAGGTCCGACATGGAAAAGGAAGCAGGGTCAGGGCAGTGAAGTTTAATGGGATTTACTCTTGCAATAGGTCTAGGGGGATGTGCGTGTTTATTAGGGGCATTTCCTCTTGACTTCTGCGTCAAGAGAAACGAGAGCCCCACAGAACACTGTGGTACAGACATGTCACACTCGTAATTAAGTATTGACTAGGAATGTGTTCAAGGTGCACTGGAAGCAGACAAAAACAAAACATTACAAATTAAGGTTTATGGATTTGCATGATGTACTCTAGCAGGCCAATCAAAGTTCGATGGTGTGATGGTTGAACAGGCCGTCTTCATTTGATATAGATAATAACATAAAATATGTGAAAATTGAGCACTAAATCAGCATATTAGAATGATTTCTGAAGGATCATGTGTAAATTACATTTTTAAAATATGTAAAATGACAATATATAACTTATTTTAAACTGTAAAAAAAAAATTCACAATATTACTGTTTTTATATTACTGCAGCCTTGGTAAGCATAAGAGACTTCTCGTTAAAAAACATTACACATTTTTTTTTTAATAATAAAAAAACAAAAACGTTTGAATGGTAGTGTATATACCACAAAAAAAGTTATACTAAAAGCAGAAATAAAATGCTTGTTTATAAGTTCTCAAAAGATTCACATGGACAGCTGACAGAAAATAAGATGGGGGATGTCGTCATGACAACGGCTCTAATTACTGTATGTTTTATTTCTATATTTTATGATGATGTCCATCATAAAATGCCCTATCCTGAATCTCTGTGGAATCAAATATCATGAAAATAATTCTGATCTGGGATTGTTTTTTAAATGGATCTAAATAGGAATCAGTTTCCAATTCCTGGTTCTCCCAAATTTGTTATGTGCAGGAATGTTCTGAGAAGACACTTACTGTCCACTGTCCAGCGCTGAGGTTCTGTAGAGCTCCGGCCGCTGCTTCTAGCGTGTTATAGTTCTGGCTTTCTGTAAGCAGGGACAGGTAGAGTCGGACCACCTCCGGCTGATACAGTAATTCAAAACCTGCACACATATATGACAGATAGACAACAGAATTACACATAAAACACTGGTGAACAAAGTCGAACACAGACAGATACAGATTAGCTATGGGGTAAAAATTGATTGCATCTCCTCCTGTCAGTGTTGTGATGCACCTGGCGAAATGAAAAGTGGACAAAACAACAGGGTAGGACAAATGCATGATTATCACGACAGAGAAATAAAGACAGAAAATCAAAGACACTCCACTTTCACAGATACACTGAGCAGTTCAATAGACAAACTGCCTAAAAAAGCCAATAGCCTGATGGACGCTTGGTTTCTTGATAACAGCAGCCCAATCTCAGGCAATGTAATCAGGGAGTCTTTCATTAAACATGACTCGAGGTCAGAAACCCAAAAGAAGAAGCTCCTTCTTGCTGATTCAGGGTCAGTTCCTCCAACACAAATTACAAAGACATTTTGAGAATACCCAGTTAGGCTGGAGACATTTGCAGTGATAGTACGGAGTGGATAATTAGCCTCCTTCTGCCTAAATGCTAAATGATGCCGGCGGACATATGATTCACTGTATGCTACTCCCTGGGATGTGACTTTGTGTGTGTGTGTGTGTGTTCCTCTACATTTTCATAATAAGCCATGGCTCTGAGAACTTCAAGACAAGATCCACTGATCTAACAAACACAAACAGAGAAAGTTCTCTCGTGTATTCCAGTGGTTCTCAATTGGTTTTGCTTTAGGAACAGATTTTACATTGGACACACCAAGTGGAGACTCAAAACAGTACCACAACTGTTTTTTTGTACAAAATAAACAAAAAAATATACACAAAAAATGTATCACAGCATTTTATTATTATTATCGGAGAAAGGAAAAATTGAAATCGCATCATATGACCCCTTTAAGGATGAGGTCACGTCACACAACTTATGTCCGCATCTACCTAATTTGACACTTCTACCAAGTGACACTTGTGCTAAAATGCATAATATTCTATTCTATTCTATTCTATTACAATTATCTAATTAACTAATTTGTACATTTGTTTTCACATTGCAATATTGAAAATAATTTGGGCTATTTGTAAAGACTGCTAAATTTGAATCCAAAAATTTAAATTCTGTCATCACTTACTCACCCGCACATTGTTCCAAACCTGTATGACTTTATTTCTTCTGTGGAACACAAACAGATATAATATGAAGAATGTTTCAACTGTTTTTGTCCATACAAGTCAATGTGATCCAAACAACATTGGATGCCACTGAGTTTCAATGTATGGACAAAAGAAACACTGAGACGTCTTACAAAGTATCTTCTTGCAATCTTCCTAGTGGCCATGGTGTGGTATACAGATTTGAAACAACCTTCACTTTGGTGTGAACTATTCCTGTGTAAAATCAACTAATATCCACTGAAAGTTTCAATATTTGACTTCTGTAAGTTCCTGTCTGGGTCTGAGGGTAACCATTTAGTTCAAATCTTCTACTATGCAACCACCGCACATTGATCATGTTCACATGAACTCTCTTCATGACCTGGGCTTGGGCAAGCATTTAGCCAAGACTGCGCATGACGGATGTGTGGTGGTTCAACAGGCCGCCACCTTTTTCACTGCCACATCAAGATCGTGAAGTCTGGAGAAATTCAAAGGAAGCTGAGCAATGATATTCATACAAAAGCAGCAAAACTGCAACACAGTGTAATTCGGTAACATGTCTGAAATGAGTTTGCACTGCGGTAGAGTGCAGAAAAAGATGGAAGAGCTACCACACTAATGCATGTTTGCTGGTGTGTGACTATAAATAAAAAAAAAAAGCTACAATAAAATCATAAAAGTTAAAATAAAATAAATGTATTGTTGCTGGTGATACAAAATTGCTTGTCACGGTTATACTGTACCGGAAAAATCATTTTAGGCTTCTCGGTTTACAATGAAAAGGTGTATACTTGAATTTGTGAATACAGATGATGAGAAAGAAAGAATGGATTCTCCCCTAAGGCGTCTCCAGAGAGAAAATGAGTCCTGTCCATTCAACTCCAAGCAGGCCTGAATGACAGTCAACTTTTTGGAACAAACACCGCACTTACTCTTTATGTGATGCCTTGTGAGCTGGATCCACAAAGTGCCAGGAACTTCAAATGCCAACAGACAACACCAAAAGGAAGGTGGTAATGGCTTACAGTCAACATCACAGCATCCCTGCTCACATGGGCAGCCCATGGAGACAGGAAGTAGTGTAGTCTGCAGGGAATAGGATGCACCAACAAAGCACCTTTCTTTTCTTTCTCATTCCGAACCCCTTATCCCTCCACAGGCCACTGAAACGGAATGGACAAGCCTGTCAATCTTTATAGATTGAGAGCCTCTGGCCAACTCTAAAAATGGTCTGGTTCATTCCTAAAAGTGGAATCTCTCTCTCTCCCCTGTGCTCTCGCTGGCCAAGTCCCACTGTTACATCCTATACCAGATCCTGGCTGCTGAGACCAGCTTGTTACCACTCACCCAAGGAGGTCTTTTTGATTTCCACTTGCCCTCAATGGCTCGTATTATGTGGAATGTCAGTCTTCAAATCACCCTTCCTAACAAGAGATTTTCCCTCTCTATTCATCCACTCGCCTAACTCCATCCTTCAACTGACAAAACTTTTCAGATTAATTACTTTTCTATGTAAATAATTTTGAGATTGTAGCATTGAACTAGAAGATACCAAGACAGGCTTGCTTCAGTATGGACATGATTAATGTACTTCACATTATTTCTCAAGGTTCCTGTGGGTTTTAAACACAATGGGCCTCTGAAAGAAGGGGATGTTTATTTGAGGCACAAAGCTTGCCAAGAACAGATTTTCAACAGCTGTGAAACCTTTTGAGTGGCTATCTATAAAAGAATACATTGTAGAGAGAATGGGTGGAATGTCATGGTAATAATCCATATTTATATCCAGAGATGGTGATGGAATAGACACTGGCATGAGAATCCAGTGTCTGAAATTATGAAAAAGATATCCTTAATCTCATATTTTCCTGTGGTCATTTTATAAAAAAAACTCTGAAGGGCCGAATTTGTCAAAACCTCGATCAATCGTCCACAGACCAAAACAACGGTAGCTGCTAAACTCATTCTGAGAGATTCATTGAGATATCAGTGCGAGAGAGAGGAAATTGAATTGCATTATTGAATTACTACAGATCTAGAGGTCAGATGAAGTCCAGAATTAACCCTGCATCTTTTTAAAAGAATACTAAAACTAGATGGATAGCCCAGGTTTGAGGTGCATGATTGATTGAGTATTGAAGGGGTAGGAGGAGATGAGGAAATAAGCAGCCCTGTGTATAAAATTCAAGTAGGCAGAGGAGGAGACGATCATACACTAGCACTTCAAAACAGCCATTGCTTCAATTACCCAGGCAACCAACTGTCCGACCACACTAGCAAATCTATTCATTAATAGACTTTAAAGAAAGAGAGGGAGAGAGTAAAAGAGAGGGAGAGAGTAAAAAAGAAGAGAGACAAACATCTCTAGGTGACAGGAGACAGAGAATATAAATGTATAATTTAACTCTGATCCAAACCTACTAAGCTGCCTAGACAGGTGCACTCTGGATGTGAAGGCTGTTTAAAAAGGTAGGCAGCAACATTATGCTTCCTTCAAAAGCCTAATTTTGGTCAACTTCTAAGGCAGCGTTCCTGGTATCCTTCACTTGAGTGCAATGGTTAAACTGTGAGAAAAATCATCCAAAACAAGAAATGCCTACTATATACACTTTTGTTCAAAAGTTTGGGGTCGGTAAGATTTTTGAATGTTTTTGAAAGTCTCCTATGCTCACCAAGGCTGCATTTATTTGACCCAACAGTAATATTGTAAAATATTATTACAATTTAAAACAACCGTTTTACATTTCTAATATATTTTACAATGCAATTTACTCCTGTGATGGCAAAGCTATTTTCAGCAGCCATTACTCCAGGGTCTTTAGTGTCCCATGACCCTTCAGAATAGAATCAATAGAACAACATTTATTTGAAATATATTTTGTAACTTGTCAATGTCTTCACTGTCACTTTTGATCAATTTAACGTGTCCTTGGTGAATAAAAGTATTCATAAAAAAAAAAAAGTAAAAAGTCTTACTGACCCCAAACTTTTGAACGGTAGTGAACTCGTATTGCATTTAATACTACAAAATAATATTTCACCCAATATTTGTGTGTGTGTATTTTTATTGTGTACATGTAAGAAGCGCTAGGTGGGGAGTTGCTGTCTATGTAGAGCATTCCAAATCAGTCATGTATGAGGCTCCATTTCAGGTTGCATTCAAGATGCAGCCTTAGAAACCAGCTGCCGATGTGGGCTGAAGACGGCAAGGCAGTTCTCTAGTTTTTGAAACATAGCTTTTGTGTCTGCCTAGGCTAAATTGAGAAACTAAAAGTGTGAGGGCTGTGCCATAGCATCCTGGGGGGAAAAAAATCAATCTAATTTGGTGTTGAACAGGCTACATCTTTGGAGCCATCTTCCACTAAAAAGAGAGAGAAAAAAGTTTGTGAGCTCACCTTTAGCTCTGGCTCATTTAACTTTCACACAGACATAAGTGGTGGCTCGTGCGATGCATTGAGAATGAAGGAAGAAAAAGATATCATGCAGAACGCACAGCAAAAGCACTTAACATGAGTTGCGCTGTGTGGTGCGCTGCAAACTCATAGCACCGGTGTTATGATCTCACTATATGATAATGACACGTTTAATTCAAATGGTTAGCAACACAAAAGTATAGATTGCCCAGTGAATACCAAGCAGATTACCAAACAGAACAGGACAGAGGCATTATTCATACTGATTTCAAATCATTGAAAGAGAGATGCCTACAGGCTAAAAGCACACGGCTGATGTAGATAGTGTTTTTGTGAAAATACATAGTTCTGTCAGAATTTTTTCCACTGAGATTTTTTTTATTGTCTATCTTGTCTGACAGCCATTTCACCCAGGACAGAAATAAACATTGAGTTTCAGTGGTACAAGA